AATTTAAGAGAGTAATTGTTACTTTTACATAGAGAGAATGAACTAAAAAAGATCATAAGCGGCATGTGAGAGAACAATAAAACATCATTGGTGTTCTTTACCTGCATGGTGATTGAAAGTACATTTGATTAGGTCGGGACCCATTAATTGTAATCTAAGGCTTTGTTAGGTACATTACAATCGGTAAAGACACACTACACACCTCTGTGACAACAGAACAGGAAGTGATCATAAAAAACTGACAGATGATAAACATGTTTCCTTAATTGTTTAAGCCTCAGGAGAGATGCTTCTATAAACCTTTGTGAATACGATTATGAAGAAAAACTGTGCTTTGGTATCCATAGTCAGATCTACAAGTGAATGACGACCTTCATGTTTTGCTTGAAATACAATTCAGAGTCATATGATGTGTTGTATTTCTTCAAAAAATGAAAGCAGGCTTAAAATGGGGTGAGAAATTAAAACAGGGTGATCCGACAAACAGTTGTTCAAGTGCACATGTGGTTAAAATGACCGATAGACCTTTGGGTCTGTTGTTTTAAATTCCTATCTACACATGGCTCAACAGTGCTTCTTGGAGACACAGTTTTAGAGTCGCCTCTCTTTTTAAGAGCAGGAACAAGGTAACACGATGTCAACTGAAGCTACACCCTCTACTTCACCAGGCTTTAGAGTCAATGGACTTGAGCAACAGCTTAATCCCAATAAACAAAACAAAAACAACAACACTAGTACTAGAAAAGAGGTATGATAAACTTTAGAAAACCCCTCAATTTTTAATTTCAAAAACAAGAAAATGGCAAAACCCCACTTCTAAAACTGATTAATTAGATTAAAGTTAAAAAAACGAAAACAATACAAAAAAAGAGCCATATAAAACTTTTACCTTCGGTAAACAAATAACACTGCTGAGATAACACTCTGGTTTTAGCTGTATGGCCATGATGGCACATGACAAGGTGAGAAAAAGCTAGCCTGGCTGTGCTTTCAAGGTACACAGGTATGTTGGTTTACCCAGAACATTCATATGTCCAAGACCCTCATTTCAACATCTAGTTTCACTAGTAGCCGTAAAAACACAATACTGTACATGCCTAATTTTTTTGGCGAGAAAAACAATTCCTGTTAAAATCATTGTGCCATTCAGATTTCAATTGAAATTCAAGGTGCATGTTTGCTTTTCACTTGTAAACTATGAAATATGGCTATCAATTAAACAAAGAAATAAAAATAATGCAGAACAAATAAAAAAGGAAAGATAAATCTTGGTTTACTAACGTACTAGCACTTGATGTTGCCTCATGCAACAACGCTCTTGACCTTCTGTGCGTGCAGTAATGTTAACGAATAGAACAAATTGAGTGCTATGATTGAGTCAGACACAGAGGTGTAATGTGAACACTTCCCACTGAGGGGAGACGCACTGACCCCAGCACCACATGCTCTTCTCTCGGCTGGACGTTGAATTTGACAACAAATTCTTCTTGACATTGATATGTGGGAACATGGCACAGATCGTGTTGCACCCTTGATGTTTACGTGTGTGATGAGACCAGCGTTGTGGACAGGCTAAGAGATGGCAGACCCTCCTCGTCCCATTGCTCGACATTCTGAAGGTTATGTACATAAAGGCTGAACTCTTTTGGCTTGGACGGTGCCAGCACACATTCATTTGATCTGAAAGACATAATGAATTTATTTAAAAAAATTAAACATTGCATTAAGCATTGAAAGGTTCTGCTACAGAGGCAGACAGAACGAAAATGTAAAAGCTGTACTCAAAAGTTAATTCTTAAGAGTGTGAGGGCTGAAATGGGAACTTACTGTTCTTGAGAGGAACTACATTTGAGTCAAGTACTTGTGACTACTCAGATGATCTGCAGATATTATTGGAATCTGGGGGTAGAAAACAGACAGGGATCAAATGAAGCACTTAAAAACACTGGGCGTCGGCCGACAAAACAAACGCAGGTCAACACATTTCAACCACATCCTCTCACACTGAGATGAGCTCATTGCCGGAAAAGGACAGAGATGAGAAGATAGATGAAGCAATCTGGCTACAGTTTGACAAAATTCATTTGTGATGTGACATGTCAATAACAATAAAACAACACTTCTAGGCAGCAGGGAGGGGAAGAGGAGGATGGAAGGGGAGGGAGAGATGAGGGGGATGCAGGCAAACTGTCAGTGAGGTGACTCCCCCATGCAAATCTAAGTGCTCCATGTTGTTGACCTGCACACCTCAATAAAATGCAGAAAACTGGAACATTTGCATGATACTTCAGCTAAAACCTTTCACAAATCTAACAGACTGTTCACAAAGTCCTTTCAACAGGAATGAAATCAAAGTGTCATAAATCTTCCTACAGACTGAATTTAGAACTTTTCTGACGTTAATAATGAGTATGTCCAACTTTTAAACACAAGGAACATGGTAAAGCTTTGGTTTGTAAAGCGGCGAAAAAAGAAAAAAAAAAAGCCAAGCACCAAAGGGTACAGAGAGCGATTGTTGCACAAGCTGTGCGAATGGCTCTAAAAAAAAAAATGTAACAACAAAATAAAACTACCTCATACATACCAATTGCATGTATTCGTTGGTAGTCAACTTTGATAAGGAAGAGTCCTCAAAATGGGAAAGGACAAAAATCGAGGTTACAATGAGGACACATCAAATTCAATACAGTATGTTTCTCCAGAAAGACAGATCATCTAAGAAATGATTAAAACTAGAATATGCTGGTAAAAGTTAGAATGGACACAAAATGCCTTAAAATATTGTTACAGTATGATTCTATGTACACATGTTGGTGTAGGCCAACAAGAAGGAGTACCGCCGTATACCCAACCCACCCCTCGCTGTGAGACACAAGCATCCCCAGATCGCCAATGTGCAATAGATAGATAGATAGTTAGAGATAGAT